TACACGATTTACCACAACATGAATCATTTCAGGCAAATGGCTGCAGCCCGATCAGCTCAGTCTGCACAAGGAACGCCTGGAACACATGGACATTCAGCGATCCGAGCAGCGTGATGGAGTTTGGTTATCGTTTTAGATTCGAATCTTCTGAACAAAGTACCTTTATTCCAGGTGATCCACGCTGAGAAGCGAGTTCAGCGCCTCAAAGATCAGCTCAATGAGTTACGCCAAGCGTCAGAAGATATTGATCCGTCGAATCTTATCGCTCAGTTGAAGGTACTGCTAGGAATTCAAAGCACACTGTCTCAAATTCCCTGATGAAATTTGAACAGAAGTCACATCTTCATGGTTCAGGACGAAATAGCAACAAATTCGTATCTGTATGAAACGAAACTGGCAAAGGAAATCGAGCAGAAACGTCAAGTGGTCGGTGAGCTCACCAATGCCACCAACGTAGCAGCCACAAGCAATTTTGACATTAATGCTCTACAAGCTGAGGTTTGTTCAGTTCTGTTGAAATGAAAACAGTTTAGGTAACTGTGAGAAGAAAGGAACATCCAATAGATATAGCGCAATGTTCGATCCTTGACAGTACACAAGTGTATAGTTGCGGAGCAGGGTCAATCCTACGTTGTTACTAGTAACAACGGGGGGTCGTACCTGGTTGAGTTTATAGGAGGGGGGTCGTATCCGCTTCAGTCGCGTGAAATTACATGTGAGTTTGTGGTGAAAGTGGAGTTTTCACGAGTAGTAGGCTGGGTGAGTTGGGAGCGCATGGGAGAGAAATCAGCCTGCGTATATACCCCCTAGAAGAATAGGGGAAATTTTCGAGAACCTTTCGTAATAAGACCTATAATTACCCCCCCGCTCGACGGTACTTGGAGGAAAAAGTGGGCGGAGTTTGGTGGGTTGAGTGGTACCAGAATTAAATACTATAGATAGGATGATGGTGGTCGAGTGAGGGTCGAAAAGGGGGTCGTACCAAGTCCACCTTGGGGGAGGGGGTCGTAAAAATTTTTGAAAAAGTAACAACGATAGGACGACCCTGGTTCCAGTGTGCGACTTACGATTTGTCCAAGACGTGCGCTTACTTCGCGCACGGTCCGAGATTCAAGTTTGGGGTCAAATCTCGCACATACTAACTAGGCCATTGATTCCTCCGTGTCCGGTCGAGTGATCCAGAATTGCCTCCTAAGGTAAAATACTGGTTTGTACATCGATCAGCTCTCGCAATTCGCCCACCGACCTCTCTTAGCAAAGGTTGCGTGTCCACTGTGTCTGTGTCTGTCAGTTCGTTCGCAGAACTAAGGGAACATGGCATGGCAGTGTGATCAGTTATCTTGGCGCATAAACTAAACAAAGTTTACCAGAATCATTTATGGGTTTGGGGAGAGAATGGCCATGCTGACGTGATGAGACAAAGATCTCAGTGCTACGCGGCAAAAATCCTTTTTGGCTCCTTGGCAGCGTTGTGAGCAAGCCCGACTACAGAGGAAACGGGTCGTCCTCCCGAAAATGAGTTAGGAGTAGACCCAGACAATGAGCGATTTTGCTCTCATTTGACGTAGCTTTATTGTTCAGGTTTTTTGAAGTGTCCGAATTCCCTCAATCATGCCATTTTGGATACTACCCCTTTCCATTCCCCCTCATCCTGAGGGAAGGCAAGTTTCCCGCCCTTGGCTTGAAATCGCATCTCTCTCCAGATTTTCTTGTTTTGATTCTGGGCCGATTCTTATCAGAGAGCCACTTCAGAAGAACTTGTTGAAAAGCTCTATTTTGCTTGTTAAAGCAAGAGTCCAGCAGGGTTTCAACCATTCGATCCTAAGGGGTGGAAACATGCACTAGCCCTAGTCAAGTACATAGGAAATGTCACTGATTTGAAAACTTACCTTTGAAAGGCGTTGGAAGGGGGTCTAACGCCTTCGAAGTGGGCGGATCCACCGAGCCTCGGTACGGCCGCCCGTGAAGAGTGCGTGATTGGCTGCGCAGACATTTGCGGTCGTTTCGGGACCACAGGGACTATTTGAGGTCGATCCTTTGAAGCAATCGATGTGGTGATGCCGACTACGCTGGATTTCTACGTTTTTTCCTTCTACCTTCTACCTTCAAAACATAAAACGATTTCATTATTGCGCCCCAATTGCAATTACTGGCAAGTAGCCAGCAATCGCAATTAAAGCGACTCACTGCGGTAAAGTTCAGACAACTCGTCCAACGCGCTAAGCGGCAGAGGGGGAGTTCCTGTTTAAATCCCTTTCGACGTTTGTTTTTGCTTTTTCTTTCATTATCGGTCAAGCTTTTCACCTACAACTTCATTATCGGTGGTTTTTAGCCCGCGAATTCGGTCTGGGATTGTTGCTTTAATAATTCAGATGGGTCTTCAACCCATCTTTATTATTGAAAAGCTGAAGAGATTATCAACAGAGTTGGAGACCATCTGGGTTTTTTTTTTGAAATCTGAGCTTTGATGAAATGGTGCCCCGGTAGCGTAACTGGTAGCGCACTTGCCCGGAAAGCGAGAGGTGCGGGTTCTAGTCCCGCCTGGGGCGAAAGTTTTGTTCACAACCCAGCATTCTTGTCAAGCTCTTCTTAGCGTTATCGCACTTGTACTGATCCTTAGCGTTATGAACGCACTTGTTTTGATCCTTCTCGCTAAAGCCATGGAGCACAATGGAGTGCCCCCCTAACGCCATTTTACCTCAGTAACAATCAATCTTAATCTCAGTTTCTAACGGTGTCTGCTACCAAACTTTCTTCTATCAGTTATCATTAGACATTGTTTGCAGGTGGACGCAAAAACGAACAGAATCATGGCTCTCGAACAGGAAAGAGACAAAGGTGAAGAACAAGTCAACGAGAACTTCAGGTGCTTTCGACTTACTGTCTCAAAGACCCTTTTTGAGAAAACACCCATCTGACAAGGAGTCTTTCAGGGCAACCCATGCTTTTTCGAAACGGTTTCTTGCATATTGTAGGGATGCATGTAGGGAACACAAAACCATGTTTCATTTTTCGCTGAACGTTCTAGC